ACCGAGGCCATTAAATGGCCTGACATTGAATTGAGACGATTATTTACTGAAGACCAGTGAGGGAGTTCAAGAATAAACTAAAGGAAATCTGGGGGTTTGATTCAAGTTAGATACTGTTAGGAATAATGTCTTGTTAACTCTATTTCCTTTTACCTGGGAGCATATCTCTTTAGACGTTCTGCATTCAAAATATCCACGTGTCTTTGAAGTCACAGTTCTGGCAGGGACCGATCTTCACTCTCTTTCACCCTGGGGGTCTCCCTTGTTACCTCCACAGTCTCCTTCAGCTACACTTCTACCACAGTGTTCACCACTCTGTCCATCACCAGGTCAGGGCCTGGACTTCCTTGCTCCATTGGCTCTTGGAGTGACTTACTTGCCACTGGAGGCCTGTTGACTCTTTGCGGCCTTCCTACCCTCACTCCAAACATTACCACATTTTGCAGTGGCTTTCACAGTTTGTTTTGTAGCTGTAGCCACTTTGTTTCATTGAAGAGAACGTTTATCTCCTTTTTCTTATTTCTTCATGAAAATAGAGAACTAAAAGTGTTCTTATATAACCATATTTTTAATCAGAAGTTGCTTGAGAGTTTTAGAAGGAACGCTTCATTATTTTAGGAGGTTGAAGAATTGAATAATTTTTGAAGTCACATAGAAGAAAAAATCAGTATCTTTAGATAAGTCTCTAGCAAATAATAATCATTAATCACTGGGAAAAAAAATGACCACTCTGCGAATTTTTCTTTAAGGGTTGAGAGGAGACGATTTCAATTACCATGTTGTCCTGCCCTTGTCAACTTTTTGTAGAATGATTGAGTCAAGAAATAACCTTAAAATGAGAGGAGCAGTAGTAGAAAGAGAACTAAAATTCTACTAAGAATGTCTACCAATAAAAATATGTGAAAATTACTTCAACTATTGGTTTTATATGCTTTATTCACTACATAATTTATTATTCTGAGTGATTTCTTGTCTCAAAGGGTAATATCCAATGACTCCTAAGGGGCAATCTGGACAATATTTTGGATGTGCTAGAGTTTCATTGATATCATCTGTTCCTGATTCTAGTACTTCTCATGTATATTATGCTCTTTTTGTGTATAATTCTGTGATGACAAAATAAACATGTACCAATAAGTATTTTCATAGTGTGGATATGGGAGAAAGATCAGTAATAATGCCCTGACTCATCCTTGCTATATTAAGCAATGTACCACCCAAATGGTCATTATAGATTTCATTCATTTTTGTAATTAAAAGGAAAGAAAACCAAGGTGTTAATCATGTGGAAAGACTTGAAGATAAACAAAAAACCATTAAATGGTCTCATACGATAAATTCTATTAGCAATAAAAGTGAAACAACTATTAATTTTCTGCTGACACACCAAGCTTTTGTCAAAGTACAATTTGAGTCTGTTTACACCTTGGCAGATGGTTGCTCAGGCAGTAAACATGGGGGAAACACATTTATAAAGGAGTTTGCAAAATCAAACAAAGCAAAACAAAAACATATCAACAGCAGAATTTTATGCTTTTTCTTAATGGAGCTGCAGCTCTTGACAATAAATAGCAAGAGAAGTTCTGGTTAGAATCAGAATTTGAAATCAAATGAACTTTGAAAATTCAATCTGAGGTTAAAAAATTAAGATGTATAAATAAAAATCTTCTCTGTAGGCTTCTGACTGATTTTTTACCTGTTAAACTAAAAGCATATATTTGTATTCCCCACAGTAACCCTTAATTTTAGAAAAGCAAGAGTGTTAATTAAACACAAGCATAATCCTGTCATTTCACCCCACAACATCAATGGGACCTGACATGAGCCAGTGTAACCTAGCGAGGAGAATGTACTCTGAGTATGAAGAATGGGGCAAAGTGTCTTTACTGTTGTCCCCAGGTCACTTTTCAGGCACTGCTGAGTTTGCCTTGATGGGCATCCAGAACTTTCTTTCTCCTTCTGTGTCCGTCTTTAATCCTCTTTTATTTTTCCATCCCGCTCCAGTGTGACCTCTCACTTAGCCATGTTAGAAAGTTCCCTTTGCCTGGATCTTCACCTTCCTCAGAGGGGAGCACTCACAGGACAAATCTCTACTACCAGCGCTGACTCTCCCTCATAGCATTACTTTAAAGGGCCCGTTCCCCTGGTTTGGGGGATGAGGGTTGAAAGACACAGGTGAAAGAAGGTGTTCAAGAACTGTGGAGTTCCATGGTGGGGACAGAATTTTATAGACAACTCCAACCTGCCCCCTAAGCTTTGAGTTGCCATTCCTTTAAACTTTTCTCTATGTGTATCCCTCAGAGAAATTAAAGTTTAGAAATAGGAGCTAAAAGCCAAATGAATTTAGGAAGCCAAGATCCCAGACTCTGAGATCCTCTCCAGTGATTCAGAACAGATCTTGATTTTATGGGAAGCTGAAAAATTCCACAACCAAAATGTGATTTCAAAAAAATTTAACTTCTAATATCTTCTTTAAATAGATAGCACGTTCACAGAGTTCAAGATTCAAAAGGTACAGAACAATATGACATGGGAATTCTCTCTCTCACCAAGTTCTCCTCTTTGGATGAAATCAGTATGAGCAGTTTCCAAACAGATTTTTTAAAGGTAGAAACAAAGGCATGATTTTTGAAGTCTTAGCGTGTGGGTCCACAACAGTAACTGTGTACTGACGTCATAATAAGTACATATTTTTATCCCTTCAGACCAGGAGCATTCGTTGAATCAGAGAGGATTGCTGTAGAAGTATTCCAGAAGGCCTATCAGAATATCATACAATCTATGGTGTTGTATGCACTCTCCTGCCTGGCTTTTCTCCTACGTTTATTTCCCTTTATTTGATCTCTGAACAGAGGACTTGCTGAATAGAAAGAAGAGTATGGGATTCAGAATAAGGCTTAAATCTAGGCTATCACTATGATGACAGACAAATCATTTTATCATTTTGTCTCATTTCTCAATCTGTGACATGCAAAAATATATACAGCTGTTATTACTCTATGGGCAATTACCTAGGTGAAAGATATGAAAATCTTTTGCGTTGCTTGGAAGAAAGATGTTACATGAACACCTAACACTGTATAATCATGTTTACAACCAGAACAGAACAGAAGTCAGGATGGAAATCTTGGCTATCACCCATAGGTCATATCCTTTATATTTTAGAAAGAATGAAAACTCTTCTCTGACAAGGTGATTAAGGACTGTGTAACTGATATCAGGTATACATCCTCAGAGGCAGAAACTTCTGAAGAATGCAAAATTTCTTAGAGCTCATTTTTCCCCAACATCTGATTTAGTTTCTGTTACAAACTTTCTCTCCAGAAAAATCCTGGGTTATGGAAAAGTAGATAATATAAAACGGCAGTAGAATCTATGATGTAGACAGAGGGGAAAATAACAACCAGGAATCTGAGTTTATAATGTTTAGCACCATGTCTGAAATCTCAAAGTCAGATATAGGCATCCTTTCATAAACAGTGCAGGGAGGTTAGATAGTAACTTGTTAATGGGTACCAACTCAGGAAACCTAAGGTAAAAAGCAAGTTCACCCAATAAACTAAAAAATAATAAATGCTTAATAATTTAGTTGTCATTCCAGTATTTCTTCCCTACAAGTGCTCCATGGATCATCGGTACACCTGTGATAATCTTTGCCAACTTAGAAATCACATTTTTGAAACAATCAGCACAGCAACAAAAACATCATTGTATCAATCATCACCATAGGGGAGAATTACTATCTCTTCCAACCAAAAATAAGTGACATTATAGTGGTGATAGAGAGTTCAGAATCTACTGTCTCATCACCTGTATGAAAACAAGCAAAGCTGAAAGCCCCAGGACAATTTTTTTTTTTTTTTTTTTTTTGAGGAAGATTAGCCGTGAGCTAACTGCTGCCAATCCTCTCCTTTTGGCTGAGGAAGACTGGCCCTGAGCTAAAGTCCGTACCCATCTTCCTCTACTTTATACGTGGGACGCCTATCACAGCATGGCTTTAACAAGTGTTGCCAAGTCCGCACCCAGGATCGGAACTGGAGAACCTCAGGCCGCTGAAGCGGAATGTGCGAACTTAATCACTTTGCCACCTAGCCGGCTGCCCCAGCACAATTTAAATATGTGATTTTCCTATTTGGCCATGTAGTCTTTGTAGTATTCTTAAGGGAATATATATATATGTGTGTGTGTGTGTGTGTGTGTATGTGTAGTTGTGTGTGTGTGGGGGGGGGGGGCATGTGTGTGTGTGTATCACTCACTCCTAAACAATTATCAAGACATACTGAACAAACAAAGACATATAAAAAATTTATGTCTAAATTAAGCACTTTTCTTCTTTTTTATTCTTTTTTTTGTGTGTGTGTGAGGAAGATTCACCCTGAGCTAACATCCGTTGCCAATCCTCCTGTCTTTTTGCTTGAGGAAGATTGTCCCTGAGTTAACATCTGTGCCAATCTTCCTCTACTTTGTATGCGAGATGCCTCCACAGCATGGTTGATGAGTGGAGTAGGTCTGCACCCAGGATTCAAACCAGCGAACCCTGGGCTGCCAATGCAGAACGCACGGAACTTTAATCACTCGGCCACGGGGCTGACCCCTGCACTTTCCTTATCTTAAAAAGAGCCAAATTGGCCTTAACCACGTCAGTGTTGTCCAAGCTGCATTTTCTCTCAGTGAAAAAGATGCCAGATTTTTCATTTGCCCCTCCAGAGTACTTCGAAGAATGGGGTTAACCAATGAAGCACTTAGAATCACTAAGTAATTAATAAGGAATGGACCAGCCGTTCCCTGAAACAGCTGTGCAGAATTCCTCAAATCATGCCAGCAAACAGACTAATGCAGATGGAGTCACCTGCTCTTCCCAGTGGCATTGCTTCAGATGCATTGGGGTATCCCTCAACTGCCAGTGTGTTCATATTGACAGTAATTTAAAATAGGTTGAATAAAATAACCAAGAGAAGAAATTCAGCAAGGCTATCCTACAGAGCACTGCACTTTGTTACCTGCTTTCTGAGTATTCTTTGACTGTGATCCTGCCAAAACCTTCATTTGCTTCTTAGAGGAAGAAAACACAATAAAGAACTAGGCTGTCTCAACTCTGAAAGCAATCAAGTGCTCTGATAAAAGATGAAGGAGCTCACATTCTTAGAGCCTGTTCCTTCTCTCATTATCTCAGTTCCTTTGTTGCCATGGTCACCTCTCAGCACAACAGAGCTCCCGCCAACATCACTTTGATACTGCATTCCTCCTTCCTGTCCACGTCCTCATTTAGTGTCTCTGTGTCTCACACTTTCCCTGACCAACACCGCTTCTCTCCACTTCTGATACAGGCAGGCAAAAAGAAAGACGCTGAAGATGCTGAAGTCTTTACAGACATATCGCTCTTGCGTTATGTAGCAACAAAGAGAATGCAAGATTCTATTTAGTGGCTGTCATATATTATGGAACCAAACACTCATTTAGAGACTGGGCCCTACCAATTGGTCTTTTAATTATATCTACAGTCTTGATTATAAAAAGAATTTAAATCTGGTGCTAGCGTGCGAGTAGAGGGAGTTACACTTATTTATACAAGTAGCTGTTCCTGAATATATCCTTCAGAAGGAAAGGAAGAGACGGTGGCTAAGGATAAACCAGGATTCCAAATATACCTAGTGCCTGATGTCTTGAGATTTATATGTTCTTTCAGGCACAGACAGACATATGTGGATTTCGTAGGGAATTCAGAACCTGAAATTAAACGTCACATAGGAGGTTATTTAGGATACTACAGAGTCAGAGATAACACTTAGGAGAAAGTATTAAACATAATATTTGGGTTATGTTCTTAAAATAGTTCCATTCCTTGCTGTTCAGATGTCTCATGGTCTCTTAAAGTGCTATTTGCCCAACTAATCAAATTTTGTTTTTGTTGTTGTGATTTTAATAGTATGTCTTCCTGGGCTGATAAAGTTATTTTATGCTATATTATTTGGTGTTTTAGGGTTTGATTTTGCTGCTGGTGCTTCTTTTAAAGAAACCACACATTTTGAACTACTGCTGGTTGATTGTACGTGTGCCTGGAGGGTATTTTTACAAGGAGCACAGAGAACTGAAAAATAAATGAGATTTGCATATTTGTAAGACCTTTGAAGTGAGAGGTTGTAAAGATTGCAGATATCATCTTTCTACATTTGTAAGAGAATCTAGAAGTAAGAAGCATTTTCCCCAATCATCTGAAATAAAAAATTTATTAAAATAAGGTTGTAAATGTCTTGTCTTTAAGGGCTAAAGTGAGGATGCAGCTTATTTTATCTGTTTATATTTAATAATTCATAAAATTTTTAGCTCAGAAGACTGAGGAGGGAAGGGATTACCAAACAACTTGATCTGTTTTTTTTATATTCAGGAAATAATAAAAAAAAAAAACAACCCAGCTTCACACAAATCAAATTACTCTTTTCCAGAGGAGACTACAAAGGTTCCTAAAATCATGATCTTTTGGACATGTGGTAAATTGTGAAAAATCAGTACTTTATGAACTGGAGAAAAGCACCATTTATAGTTGTTGAAAATCAATTTTATCTTTCATGTCTTTGGTGAAGAAATATTCCTCATGCTAGAGAACTGGGCATTCCAATTCTATTTTCTCCTTCTACTTGTCATTTTTATTAATGCCAAGACAAGGCACCCATATACATTTGTGGATGCTCAGTGGAAGTGGCGAAAGAGTTAATATCTTCAAAAACTTTCAGCTTTCTTCTGTTGTGTAGTCTAGACACAAAGGATTACAGACTCACAGAATAAGGATCTACTTTTGTTTCCTCCTTGTGATCTAACCTGGAAAGTATTTCTTCTAATTTTCATTGACAAATATATGCACATTTGTGTACCAAACTTAAATTGCAGTCGTTTCTATTCAACTATTGGTACTATTACTAGTCTTCATGCCCCAGAAAGTATTGGAAATATTAACATTGACCAAATGCTCTTAGGGATGTCCTTTAGTCCAGTGGTTCTCAGCTGGGGGTGATTTTGCCCCCTCACAGGACATTAGGCAAATGTTCCCTGGGAGCAAAACCATTTCTAGTTGAGAACCACTGCTTTAGAGGATAGGTTAAATTGTCACAAAACATTGACTACTTGGATAAATTGATACTAAAAGCAGAAAATTGTATGCTCATGAACATGTCAAATGGCAAGAATCATGTTTTTTTATGGAATAAGTGATTATATACTTCTAAAAAATTAAATCTTCTCTTACGAAAGCTTGCCATTGTTTACTGGCTTCTCCTAACAATTTTTACCTTTCTAACTAAAATATGTTTTACATATTTTGGAAATGGTAACAGTTCTTTATGGCCACAGAGCAACCATTTTATAACCTACTACTTTATTATAGCAAATAGTCTCTAGTGGACTAAAAGACAATCCTGTTTAATCGGCCAAGTTGGATCATAACCAAAAGGTTCACTATAAATTAGGAAATTATTAAAAATTAGAGACAAGAGCAGTCAGACCCATGGCATAGTGGTTGAGTTCGGCACACCCAAGTTCATGGGTTTGGATCCTGGGCATGGTCTTATATACTCATCAGCCATGCTGTGGTGGTGACCCATATATAAAGCGGAGGAAGACTGGCACAGATGTTAGCTCAGGGCTAATCTTCCTCAACAACAACAACAACAAAAATTAGATACAGGCTCTCTTTGAGAGTCTGGGTCAAAAATTTCTAGGTCTCTACCCTAGGCAGATCCTGTGAAATTAAAATGTACAAACGTGTATTTTGACAAGACATGGTAATACTTCCATGGGTAAAGTATTTATTACCTCGTCAGTCTGCCCTAGACTCTGGAGTCTGTTATAATGCCACTAAGAAGAGGCTTAATGTACTGTGAAGAACACAAATGTTAGCATTTTAACCTAAGGCTGTTTTATGACCTCAAACAAGTCACTTAACCTCTGTGACCTTTGATTTCTTCATCTATAATGAGAATAAAGGTACCTAGTTTATTTGTTCTAAAAATGGAAAAACAAAGTTTTAAAAATATGCTTACCTAATCACTTGTTATGCATTCATATTTGACTTATCTGACTTTAATTTTTTAGAAGATTGATATTTAATTTTTCAAAACTAACAAGTAATTAAAACACTAGCAATATCTACTAAACATTAATGAAGCTTCAAAATATATAAACTAAATTTAAGAGAAAATTATATATTCTCATACATCAAAACAGAATAATATTACCTGCAAAACACTCCCTAGTTTGGTCACATTGCTACTTCTGTACTGATGATTATAGTGGACATCAGTGTTAGATACTGATAGTGGCCTACTTCAATGTACTAAATAGTTTTTTGTGTCACCTGAACTTTCTTGTACCTCTGGGTGCTTTCTATAACCTAGGAAACTTTGCCAGTTTGCCCTCAAGTCCCCTAGAAAGGAAATCATCAGAGATGCTGGAAAAAGAGGTGAGGTAATAATTAATTTTTAAGCTTATAAATGGAATTGTGAACCCAAGGCTTAGGAAGAAAAAGATGTCTAAGGTGCAAGAATATAGGGGCTTTTATTTGCTTTTGTTTGTTTTTTAATCCTAGGTAGTGAACAGTCACTTACATGCTAAAATAATAGATTTAGGGAGAGTAGATCAAGAGCCAGACTAGTCCACCTCAGGGCAGGCAAAGATTCTACATGGGAAGATGGGGTCAAGGAAGAGTCAGGAGGCAGGGCAATAAGGCAGATGTGTTTGTGACCTCTTACAAGGAGTCCTAGGCCTTGACTCCTCAGGGTTGTTGGAACCATCAAACATATATTGATAGAAGAGAGTGGAGGAGACGTTGGCTTGGCTTCTTATTGAGAATCTGAGTTTCCTAGTATCCCTTCACACCACAGCATCCTGGAAACACCATAGATGAAGCCCTGAATGGCTTCCCCAAATCTCCACAGCATCAGCTTGATGCAGGAGCATATTTGTAAGCATTCTTTTCCTTCCTGAAGGGCACAGAGAATACTAGAAAACCTGAAGAAGCCTCACATTCTAGGCAGGATGGATATCGAGTGTTTGGACTTCCTACTGGACACTGGACACCTGATGGGAACATAGGCAGCCAATGCTCAAGGACACAGAGGGCAGGAGACAACTCAGCAGATACTGCCTGGACAGACAATCACCAGGATGAGCCAGTTGGACCTGCCTGCTAAGTATGCCTCAGAGCCGAGAGGTAATTCTAGAAACATACTGGAAGAGAGCCCTAAATTTGGTGAGACTGATTAAGATAACTCTGAATCAAATGAAGAAAAAACTTGATATGTCTTAGCTTACTCTGAATTTATCTAGATTAAATTTTGAACACCTGACATATTAGACATCTAAGATGATAATTACATTCAGTGATGGAAAAATAAGCCAAATTATAGGTTTATATATTGAATTTGCAGTTTGTGAAAATCATGCCCACTTTAAAATACAAATCAATAAATAAAAGAGCTATCACTTCTTCCAATATTTTCCCTGTAAAGTGTGATTACCGTATATCATTCCCTGATGTGGCATTTGATTGAGTTGTACATTGATCTAAGAGAATGGCCTGATGAAAATATGATGAAGTTCATTATACAATGTGAAATAAAAATAATTATAAAAGTGCACTGCATTATTCTAATATTTGATTCAGATGTTGATTTTTATATAACTATAGTGTATGTTTTATAATACTGATGACTATTAAAAATGAAGTTGTGGAAAGTTTCCAGCTTCCTTCTCTCCTCTCCTCTGAAAAGCAATAACAGAGTTACTGAGTGCTCCCAATAAAAACCTGGTCAAATTGTCATAAAATGAAATGAGATAATATTGTGAAAATGTTTGAAAGATAGCATCAGTTCAACAAATTTCTTTGAATACGAATCCATATTCATATGGTCAAAACTACATATGGTTTCCATTGGTCAAAACTGCATTCAAAGATGTTTAATAGATAAAATTATAATTGACAGCATTAGAGTTGTGTGAAATTTCTACTTCTTTAAAGAGAGTTAGATGGAAACACTAATTGGAGTAGATCACTTACAGGTGTCAATATGAAAATGTAAAGTGATATTAGACTTCTGACTCAGCATTATAGTAAAATGTGATTTAAGAAATAGTGCGTTATTGGATA